TATATATTTGATTCATTTCATCTAACAAAATTTGAAATTGTTTGATAATCCATTGTGCGGGTGATTGTTCTTCATTCAGTTTTTTTCTATACATCTTAAAGACTGATTTGGAATCATCAAATTCCGGCATTTTACATATAATCCAATGCTATAGGCTTCATGTTCTTGGAAACTATGTCTCTTAACATTGAGATTTCTATTCGGATCTTCTATAGGTTTTAACAGACATTCAAAATCCGCGTATATAATAAATGGAACTTCCTCTTTATGTTTAAAATTTTTAAATTCTAAAGTAACATCGTTAGGTAAATTAATCCGACACTTATTTATTTTGGAACAGTCAACTTCATGAGATTTCAAATTTTCCTTGTTAGTAAAATAATGAAGGCAACGTTCGCAAAGATAAATTTTTTCAGTATGTTGAGTAACTTGTCTACGAAGGAGAGCAGATAAAGTTTTAATCCATACGTAGTGAGTTTCTAATTTGAATTTTTCATCGTCTATTGATATTCGTGGTCTATTAGTCTCATTTTCATCAATATATTCGTTTTGTATTAAGAGTAAGTTCACATGTTTAGTTTGTTTTAATTTCGTTATATAGCACGGTGAGACTTCATATTTAGATCCATATTTTTTTAGTATATATAAATTTACACTTATATTATTCAACTTTTCAAATTTAGGAATACTTTTTATTTTTACAGGGAAGCTTATACCATCAAAATTCAGTTCATTCTCATAGGGCTTGTACTTAATTACTCTGTTTGGATTTCTTGCAACTGGATGAAGGCATGAAAGTATAGCCCATTTAAAACATTCATTGTCTTCATTTCTTACATTAACACAGGCTCTTTTATTATCTATGCTTGACGGTAATGGTATATACGAGCATGGTTTAAATGGATTATACTTATTTATATTAATAGTGAGACCGACAATAGTTTTTAACGACCAGCCTGAGTTTCTTTCTTGAAATTCTTCGATTTGTTTAAGTATGATATCTTTAACGTTATTTTGAAACCATCTATCAAGATCAGTAGTCTTATAAATGCAAACATTTTCTGAATTGAAATACTTGATTTGAATATCTTCTTCTTGATTTTTCTTTATGATAAATTGTGATGCCATTTCTGTATTTATTTTTAAGTTATTATGGATAGCAAGAAATTGAGGTATTTTTATTTGTAATAGTTGATTTGCGGCAACTAGAAATGTTTTTATATCTAAATGATGTTGATTAACTATACAGACTGTACTAATTCGATTTTCAAAGGCTGAATGAATTGGTCTCCAAACAACTCCATCTCCTAGAATTTCATCCTGAATAGCTGTTAATGGTTGTATACTTCCACCAACTTTTATAGTTTTACTTAAATTGACTTCAATAGAATTCGAATGACAAGCACAAGTTTGACACCTTTGTCGAATTGCTCTACTTAAATCAGATCGTTTCATAAATTCATTGATTGAAATTATAGCATTAACTGTTAGATTTCTCCATCTAATACAATCGTCTATATCTAAATCGTTCGAATGGTTATAAGCTTTCCATAAATTTTTAATTGTTTCTTCAAAATAGGCGATAGAAGTCATGTTGTTAGTTATCTAGTTTTATTGTCTTGTACAGTCACTTGTCTATAGTTGTATAAAGGATTATTATGATGAAAGGATGGAAAAGGTAGTGAACAGCTCTAAAATGAACTTGTTCTCAGTTGGTAATGAATATTGATTTGTTTAACAAATCAATAAGGATTCAACTAACTACTGAGGAACTACTTGCAAATGGCGTAAGGTAAGGCAAGCTTAGCTCGCAGGCTGTCTCGAGAGACTGCGCTCTTTTGCTAGGCCAAAGCTGCTTTTAAAGGTTAGGTGAGGACGCTGTCAGCAAACTGAGGGCGCTGCCAGCAAACTGAGGGTGCTGCCTACAAAGTGTGGGCGCTGTAGGCAGTATATGGAAGGGTTAGCTCAAACGAAAAAGTGGGGGTGAACCGACTGTAGCACCATCTAACTTATTAATTTAGTATTAAAGGGTTTATATATAGATCTTCAGAATAAAAATATAGTCATTATTGCTTTGAGATATGATTCAGCTCACATATCATAGAGAATGATGGGATTTATACTCTAAGATGGACTATATTTTAGATATTCAAGGCTTTCAGAGTCTTAATAATACTTTTATTTGTAAGGAGTTTGCCTATTTACCAGTATGTTCTAATACTTATAATACTTAATAATATAATAATATTATAATTTAATATTATAATACTTCTAATACCTACAGTACTACTTTTTAAACCTCCATATCATTGGCTCAAACTGTCTATTGAATATCAAAGTGTTAATAAGTGGTTGGAATTACATCATCATGGTATTTATTTTTATTATCGTTAATTAACATTGATTTTATTTGAAATATTTAATATAATCAATTTTATAGGTATATTATGGAGAAATGGTATTTTACCATATAATTTTTTAAATTGTACTATACGCAGTCATTTACATAATTGTAGAAATATTTATGTGAAAGGATTACAAAAGAAGCAATGGCTCAAAAAAATTATTCCTGAAAAGTAGGTTCAAATAATATACAATAGTACAAAATTCTAAATTCGAATTTAATTAGTTTTTTCTTTTTTAATTACAGAAATATTTTAGATATCGAAACTGAAATGAGATGTCCGCGATTGGAAGATTTAAGTCTTAAATTTAAACCATCGTGCATATATCATAGTCAAAATCGCGAGAATATAGTATGTGCTGCAGTAAATAAACAAAAGATACACGATTGGATGATGGAAAAACAAAAACAAGCAAAATCAAAAGGGATCGACACAGTCGAAAGATTTACAGATGACTATAATTCATATAAAAATTCAACTGAATATTTAAAAATAGCTATGTCAGACACTGAACATAAAGATTATAGACAAAGTGTACTCTATTCAATGTATAATTAAAAATAATAAATATTAAATAAATAATAAATGTGTGCTTATTTAAATAGTAAAATAATCATAACGATTGTAAGAAAGGGTGAATGGATGGGAATAAGGTTCTCTCCTAGCAAAGATGTTTAGGAGGAACATCTCAAGGAGGTGTCAGTCGAGCGACTGCATTCGTAGTCTCTAGCATTCTCACGAAAACAGTTCCCTTCGTGGAGAGAACACGTATTGACTATAGACAGCATACGCTCCCCTCCGCGCACCATGGTCCACGCTTAGCTAGAGCGTAGGAGAGACAGAGAGAGAGAGAGAGAGAGAGAGAGAAAGAGAGAGAGCGCACGTTTACTACTACTATAGTAGCGCATCCCCATCAGGCCAGAACTATAGACAGCATGCGCTCCCCTCCTCCTCGCACTGTGGACCACGCTGAGTGAGAGCTTGAGAGAGAGCATACATTTAATACTACTATAGTAGCGCATCCCCATCAGGCCAGAACTATAGACAGCATGCGCTCCCCTCCTCCTCCGCACGCTCGGGCCCTATACCAAATATATGCGTGTGTAGCTAATATACACAATATGCATCCTCTAAGGTACATGTGGCATTGGCTCTAGTGGTAGAACGCTAGTCTGCCAACCCAGAGGACTCCGGTTCGATTCTCTGGTCTGTCTTTTCATTTTTTTCAAAGAAAAATCGTCGCTATTTTCTATATTCCTTTCATTCTCAATGTAGCAAGTAAATTGTTAATAATATATATTTATAACTTTAAAAAAAAAAAACATTTACATTTAATTAGACTGAAAGCACTAGGTATAGGGTCCCTAGGGACTAGGAGCCCTCGGGACTAGGAGCCCTAGAAACCTTCCTAAAAAATTATAAACAATTATTAACATTAATAATAATAATTAACATGGAAGGGATAGAGGCCAGGGAATCAAAGGGTTAAACCAAGGGACCCCCACGAATATTGTTAATAATAATTGTTAACAATAATAATTATTATTAACATAAAAGAGTTAAGCCAGGGCGGCCAAAGGGTTAAGCCCGGTGGGGTCAAAGGGTTACAGACCCCCCGCAGGTGTGCTGGAACATACGTATGTTCCAGCACACCGGAGACCCCCCGCAGGTGTGCTGAAACATACATTGCTATACTACTGCGGATAAATCGAGAGGCAGTTCGATGTGAACGGCCTTTGATGCTAAGCATACGAAAACACAGCCATACACCTTGAGGAAGGACTTGTTACGATGAGCCTTCTCCTTGATGAGAAGTGGACCAAAGATATCGACCCCTGTACGATCAAAAGCAGGGGATTCTGAAACTCGAGGCTCTGGCAAATTTCTCATTTGCGCATGAGCTATAGGTGGTTTTTGACGAATGCAATCTACGCAACGTCGAATGACTCTCCTAACTTGATTTTTTCCATTCAAGATGAAAAATTTATTGCGAACAGCATAGAGAGTGGTTGAAATACCAGCGTGAAGGTTGGAAAGGTGAGTCTGACGAATAATCAAGTCTGTAATATGATGGTTCTGAGGCAAAAGAATCGGATGCCTTTGATTGTATGGAAGCTGAGACTTGTTTAAACGTCCACCCACACGGATAACCTTATCGTCTCCTATGAAGGGAGCCAAGTTATCGAAACTAGTTCCCCGTTTGAGGGAATTAGAAGTATGAGACAATTTACGAAGCTCATTGGGAAACCTTTCTTGTTGCATCGACTTAACGATGCTAATTTCGGAAGCCATGACTTCCGAAGGAAGAAGGGGACGAACTAACTGAAGAATTTTCTTCATCCTGATTGAAGATTCTTCGACGTCGGGAAACAATTGAGTTGTCTTACCTCGATCACGAGACCTTTGTCTCCATCGAAGAACATATGCTATTACTCTAGTCAATCGACCGTAGACGGAGAAACGTGAATAGATTTCGCTGAATGATGAACTTGGCGTTGTCAACAGACACACTCCTTTCTTAAGACCAGGAAGCTCTTTAGGAGAAGTTTCAACGGATTTGGGCCATTCTTGTGAAGGCAGGGAAAGCCAAGATGGTCATGAAGTCCAAAGTGAGTTATCTAGAAAGTCGGCTGGTAGTTGTCCTCTAGAAAAGGCGTCTGCAGGGTTGTCCTCTGAACGGACGTCTCTCCAGGAAACTTGTTCACCTAACGTTTGAATATCAGCAACTTTGTTGGATTCGAAAACTCTGAGGAGATGAGGAGCCTTTTTCAACCACGCGATAACAATAGTGGAATCAGACCAAAAAATTGTTTGATCAATTGGGAAATCGAATTGAGATTTAGTATTGACGTAAAGTTTTTTGAGAACGGAAGCAGCGCACAATTCCAATCGAGGGATTGTTACGCCGCTCAAGGGAGCGACTCGAGATTTACTACAAATCAAGCGAATTATCACGTTGTTTGAGGAGTCTACAGATTTCAATAACAAGCATGCACCATAACCGTAGTTGCAGGCATCACAGAAGCCATGAAGTTCAATCCTAGTTGGATTTGGAATTAAAAAGTGACGCGGAAACGAGACCTGTTTCAGAAGTGATGATTGAAGAACAAAGGATTTCCATTTGGTATGGATATCTTGAGGAAGCGATTCGTCCCAACCAACCTTGGCCTTCCAGCAATCCTGAATCAAGGTTTTGGCAAACAATACGACCGGTCCTAATAGACCTAAAGGGTCAAATATCTTTGAGATTTCAGATAAAAGCTGTCTTTTGGTTGAAGTAGCTTGAAGATCGATACAACTCACAGAATATTGCAGGATGTTCCTTTGAGAATCCCACACGACACCCAAAGTTTTCTGAACCTGATCTTCTCTGACAACACAGTCAAGATCGAACACCTTCTTGTCAATGGTATTCAAAGCAGATAGGTGATTTGAAGCCCATTTTCGAATGATGAAACCACCTCGGCGCAACAAAGCTATCATTTCATCACGAATTGCCAAAAGTTCTTCAAGAGTATTTGAACCAGAAATAAAGTCGTCGACATAAAAGTCACGAAAGAGTAATTTACTAGTTCTTGGAAAATCTTTTGCCTCGTCACGAGCAAGTTGTTGAATGGTGCGAATTGCAAGTAATGGAGCTGCAGCTACCCCAAAAGTAACTGTATTGAGTTGGAAGGTCTTGACCTCTCCTTTATGATACCAGAGAATCCTTTGGTATTTTCGATCATCGGGATGAATTAAAATCTGACGATACATCTTTTCGATGTCGGCAGTGATCACAAAGGAGTGAGTACGAAAACGAAGAACTTATTCAAAAATAGTGTTTTGTATAGTTGGGCCTACCATGAGCGTATCATTGAGAGAAATGCCCGTAGAAGTTTTAGAAGAAGCGTCGAAAACAACTCTAACCTTAGTAGTCTCACTAGAATCTTTTACGACTGCATGATGGGGTAGAAAATCCAAATAACCATCCAATAACCATCTTGGTTATCCTCACAAAGAGTCATGTGACCCAGAGAAATATACTCATCCATCACCTTGGAATACTCAACCTTCAGCGACGGATTCTTAGCAAATTTTGCTTGGGGAGAATCGAAACGTTTGAGAACTTGAGACTTAGACTTGAATCAAATTTGGAGTCTCTGAATGGAAGACGAACGATGTAACGACCAGAAGAATCACGTTGGGTGTGAGTAACGTAATGTTGTTCGCATGCAACCTCATCACGAGATTTATTGGGCTCATGATCAAGATCTTCGATCAGCCAGAAACGTTCGATGAGCTTGTCTAACTTAACCATGTGACAAGACGCAGAACTATAAGATGACTAGTCAATGCTCCCACCAGCCACAATCCATCCTAGACTCGTCTTTTGCAAAATGATCTCGGAATTTTCCCGTTGGAGTTTAATCTGACCAACGGCTAGAACTGATAAGGTAACACCGGATGATAGCAAAACATCAATAGACTTGGGCAAATGAAACTGAAGATCTGCTAGCTTTATGTTTTTGGGAATGTCGAAGAACTCACGTGGAAAAACGTCGTTAGGCACGGCTTCGGCAATCTTTGGAACTATTAGAAGTTGAATTTGTTGAATATGGTCGTTATATTTAGAGTGGATACTAGCTTGAATGTACCTTTGTGAAACAGTGCATAAACCATCAACTGCTCCAATGCTGACTGAACAGGGAAACTCAGATAAACGCAAAGATTTTGCAAAATTTTCGGTAATTAAATTTACAGTTGAACAAGAATCTAATAAAGCGCGTGCCACGACAAGATTACCACGATTGTTTTTGACCTTGACCACAGCTGTAGTCATTAATTGTGACTCTGAAGGAAACGCCACTGAAGTAAGTGTGCGTCGGATCAGTTAACTCGAAGAATCGGTGGGAGTGGAGGATTTATTTCCACTTGGTTTGGACATGTTAGTATTATGGAGAAGAGTGTGGTGCCTTTTGCCGCACTCTTTACAAGTTTTCGTGCTACCGCACGGGAATTTATGGGCCCAGAGACAATTGAAACAAAGCCTGTTATTCTTTGCGAAATCCCAGCGTAATTGAACGTCGAGAGATTTGAAAGATTCGCATTTGAAAAGTTGGTGCGAACCTTTACATTTGGGACACACCAGAGGTGTCCGAGCCGTTGGAGTTGACGAAGTCGACGGCTGAGAGAGCGTAGTGGCGAAAGAGGTGGCAGTGGTTTTGGAGCTTTTTGAAGCTCGTTGAGGATTAGAAGCAGCGGGACGCTTTTTCGAGTTAGATTGATAATCATTGGATTCATCAAAAGCTTCTTGCTTGAAAATGGCTCTCTGGATGAATTTGAACAAAGAGTCCAACGATGGTAACTCATTGACATCTAACTTGTCGTTCCAACGACCATAAAGATAAGGAGGGAGGCATATTTCAATACAACGAACCACCAGGTCCTCGCCATAATTTACATCGAGGCGTTTGAGGACGTTAATATGTTGCCGAGCCGAATCGTACAATTCAGAAAGAGTGACCTCCTTTCGGTCCTTGTGCTTTCCGACCTTTGGAAGATCAAGCACGGCATTCAGATGCCGAGTGGCTACGATACGCTTGTGATCGTAAAAATCGAGGAGAGCTCGCCACGCATTGAGATAATCTTCCGCATTCATCTCATACTCATCGATCTTACCGCGGGCGCTGCCTATCACGCTCGTGAATAGGTAATGAGCCTTATCATCATTGGAGAGTGCATTTTGATTCTGAACAAGAGCGGTAAATTGGCTCTTGAAAGAAGCCCACTTCGCGCGAGAACCGTCAAACTTTTCGAGATCAATCTCTGGAAGTCTTGCTCGTAATTGTTGTTCGCTTACAGTGATATTTGTGGCAGTCATGGTAGAGTTAGCTAAAGGGTTGGGTAATGGTCGTGGTTGGTGAGCGTCATTGTACAGTTTAGTTACAATAGTAGTAGTATCATAGTATCGAGTGGTCAGATTGTCAAATGAGATTATGAACTCATTTTCTGGGTCAATGTTAATCAGCTCGTCAATGAGATTTACCAGTTCGGTTCTTTTTGTCATCAAGTCAGTGAGTCGTAGATTGGCGTTAGTAGCGTCTGGGTCAACAGTAACGTAAGCCGCTAGAGCATCCACTCCCCTTTCAAAGGTTTGGTATTTCGCTGCGATGAATTTCGCTCTAGCGATTTGAGCTGCGGCTGGAGCCATGACGAGAGATTTTTAATTTATTTTAACGGCCGAAAGTAATAAATTACCGTCTCGAAAAACGATAAGTTGTCGACAGACGAATACGAGATTTAAGTAATTAACGAATAAATGAATTTCAAAAGGCGCGTTAATTCTTAGAAACTATGATTAAGTTAAAGGAATGGAATGATTCAAATACATAGAAAATAAAAAGGGAGAAAACAAGAGTCTTATCTTAATTGGGATCCTGTCCCTCGATGCAGAGACCACTGGGCGGCGAGGCTTCCTTGGATGGGAGTAACAGCTGGACGTTGATAAGATGACTATGTTGATGATGATGACTACGTCCTTGTTCAACGCAATCGGCGACCAGTTGACAAAGTGTTTAGAGGTGGCGTATTCGCCAGTCTTTTAGTCCAATAAAACACAGCACGAACTGCACAGTTACGCAATGTTCGGTACGCATGCGCGTGTCAACTTATGTGTGGATGACGTCGCTTCCTAACAAAGGATGAGGTTATGTTCAACCTCACAGGAGGCACCATGTTTTGTCTTGAAAGGTTCACCTCTGAAATGCCATAGGTGACATTCCAGCAATTTTTTTTTAAAGGAATTGAAAGGAAATGATTTTAATGAAATAACTTAATTTCGCGTGATTTGACCCTTAAGTTTACAAAATGAATCAACCTTTAAGGTTTGATTCAAAACTGGTCCCTATGGTTTGTTAATGTAGCACTGGTAACAAATAAACAACACTATTTTTTTGTGGGAAAAAAGCCTTTCGGCATAAAAAAACCCAATTTATTAAGACGATACAGATTGGATAAATTCGGATGAACTTGAATGAAAGGATAATAGAGTGACGCCGCACAAAGTGACACGCACAAATGTCGCAATTATTTTCGCAAAATACTACCACGTGTTCATATAAATTCTACGCGCGCGCGTGCAGATGATTTTTGCACACACACTCACACACTAGATAAATGTTGCTGGTGATATCGATGATATCGCACCAAGATAATTATAGAGAAAGATGAAGTTAGCTTGATGTCGGTGATATCATGCAAAATGAAAGTAGGATTGACAAGGTTGATGAAATTAGCTTGATATCGGTGATATCACACAAAGGCAATAGTAGATAGAGGAAAAGGTTCGTAGATTACTACCTGTAATCACCACGTGGCAAGGGCTACTTATTTGTTGTTGTTATAGATAAAGTAAGCACTAAATTTGCGCAATACGTTGTTTTGCGTCTTTGATATTGTTAGTCGTTGACGATTTTAGTTATCACGATCACAAATGGAACCGGATTACATTGAATTTCACGGATGCAAACGAGGGTAAAAATTCACGATAGCTCTGCACACAATGGCCGCTCGAGCTGTACTGACGATGTGCTCGTGGTTAGATTGGCGCGAACTTGCCAAAAAACCGCGAAAGCATGCACAGTTGGTGGCGCCATCTCCCTCAGTTCTCACTCAAGCTCGACTCTCACGCTCACACATACACACACACATGAGACGACGGAACAACATTTCATTTAAATGTGATGTTTGCTATTGAATATTTTTTATGTATTTTTCAAAAACTTCAGTTTCTGATTTAAATCGAATCTAATGATAACACAGGCCTGCAAGGTTTTGTTCTTTTGCAACTGAGGGTCATTTCCGAAGTAATTTTTGGCGTAGAATTCGAATCCGTCATCAGAATTTCTCCATCTTGTCAGGTTTTTGAGTAATCGTCCCCTAAAGGTCGAAAAAACACGTTTTTTGGCCATATTCAAGGCTTGATTACATCGTGAGTTTATATTCTTTCCAAAAACGGTTGACGGCATCTTAAAGAAGCACTCTTACCCTTCAAAACCCATTTTTCAAATTTGAGATATCATTTTTTTTCATCAAGATATCATCAATTGAAGTTTGCCATTTTTGTTTTCACCATGAGCTTAAAAGTTCGGCCAATTTTCCTGGAAGAATACGATATATTTCTTAGTTTTTTTTTTATAATGATTCTAGAATCATTATCCAAAAAATACTAAGAAATATATCGTATTCTAAAAGAATATAAACTCACGATGTAATCAAGCCTTGAATATGGCCAAAAAACGTGTTTTTTCGACCTTTAGGAGACGATTACTCAAAAACCTGACGTGATGATGCAATTCTGACGACGGATTCTAATTCTACGCCAAAAATTACTTCGGAAATGACCGTAAGTTGTAAAAGAACAGTGACGACTCTCTATTTTGCAGGCCTGTGTAATTATTCCTATCGAATTTAATCATTTTCAATTACCTTGCTTTCGAAGTATGATATTAATAGATTTTAATAGACATCAGAGGATTTAGAATCACAATTGAAAATGATTGCTTTTGTTTTAGTCATTTTTAATCGGACGTTTTTAACACGGTGCACACATTAATCACAACTTTATTGAAAAGTTCTCCTTGAGAAATTTTATTTGTTAAAGGTCATAGTAAATGCTAATTAGACTGTGTATTGCCTTTTTTTGAAAGTAAAAGAATATTGATTTTTACAATACAAATTTTGAAAATCTATGTTACCAGCTTTATTACTGATAG